TTTTATACATTGGATTATAATCTAATATTGTCAGAGGTGTGTGAACCAGAGAAACTTCATCTTAAATAGGAGCTGGGTAAAATGAGACTGAAACCTACTGGGTTGCATTCCCAGATGATTAAGGCATTCTAAGTCACAGGACAAGATAGGAGGTCAGCACAAAATACAGGTCATAAAGACCTTGCTGATAAAACAGATTGCAGTAAAGGAGCCGGCCAAAACCCACCAAAACCAAAATGGTGACAAGAGTGACCTCTGGTCATCCTCACTGCTACACTCCCACCCAGTGCGATGATAGTTTACAAATGCCATGGCAACATTAGGAAGTTGCCTTATATGGTCTAAAAAGAGGAGGCATGAATAATGTACCCCTTGTTTAGCATATTATCAATAAATGACCATAAAATGAGCAATCAGCAGCTCTGTCTATGGAGTAGCCATTGTTTTATTCCTTTACTTTATTAATAAACGTGCTCTTACTTTGCACTGTGGACTCACCGTAAATTCTTTCTTGCTCAAAATCCACAAACCCTCTCTTGGGGTCTGAGTCCAGACCCCTTTCCTATAACAATACTATGCTACGTATTTTGTTGCTCAAATTATTCCAGCTTTGGCCATGGAAGAGTACTTTCGGGTTGACTCCTCTGTCATTTGTGTGTGTCTGTGTGTGTGTTTTAAGAGATAGGGTCTCACTCTGTCACTCAGTCTAGAGTGCAGTGTGGTCATAGCTCATTGCAGCCTTGAACTCCTGGGCTTAAGTGATTCTCCAGCCTCAACCTTCTAAGCAGCTAGGACTACAGGCACACACCTTCTCTCTGTACTAATTTATGTATTTATTTATTTTTGGAGAGACAGGGTCTCAAACTCCTAGCCTCCAGCGATCTTCTCGTCCAATGTGCTGGAATTACAGGTATGAGCCACCACATTCGGCTGACTCCTAAGTCTTTTGAAATGTGCCAGACTCAGCCGGGCGCAGTGGCTCACGCCTATAATCCCAGCACTTTGGGAGGCTGAGGCGGGTGGATCATGAGGTCAAGAGATTGAGACCATCCTGGTCAACATGGTGAAATCCCGTCTCTACTAAAAATACAAAAATTAGCTGGGCATGGTGGTGCACGCCTGTAGTCCCAGCTACTCGGGAGGCTAAGGCGGGAGAATTGCTTGAACCCAGGAGGTGGAGGTTGTGGTAAGCTGAGGTCGTGCCATTGCACTCCAACCTGGGTAACAAGATCGAAACTCCATCTCAAAAAAAAAAAGAAAATAAATGTGTCAGATTCATTTTGTGCTTTCCTTGCTCTAGCTCTAAAATCAACCATTCTCCAAGGAGCCCAGGTTGCCCTTATTGTGAAAGGAAAATAAATTAAACCATTGAGCTATGTTGTTAAAAGTTTAATTAAAAGGGTAACACACCCAAGTTGAGTGTGTGTGTGTGCATGTGTCCATGTTTGTATTTGAAAGGCCTTCATGTTTTTGGTTTTTCGTTGTTGTTGTTTTTCTCTCCTAAGATCATGTCTTTTTTTTTTTTAACAAAAGATTTTTTTTTTCTTTTTCTTCTCAGTT